GAAGGTTGAATGGGACACCTGTAAGACTATGGTATCCTAATTTAAGCATACAACTAGAAGCTAGAGAACATCTCTTTATTTAATTTTGTATGTAATATTCATACGATACAATCGAGCAATATGGCAGAAGAATCTATGCAAGAATTCATTTACAAGTAAGAAAACTGCAAAAGTTGAAACTAAGCTATTAATATTAATGAAGGCTATGCTTCAGAATAATGTAAGTGAGAAATGGGATATGCCAAAAAAACAAAGTAATATACTGTTTGTACTTAACAAGAAAAGTAAGAAGGGAAAAGTGCTACTTAATTATCATGTTGCAGAGTTAATAATGCAGTAGAAATCTTAGCTCTTTCTGAGTGCTTAATTTCTCAGTCTTAACGTTGCCGTAATGCAGTTTCCAGATTTAATTTCCTTATATTTATTTGTTTTTAGCAACTCAGAAGGCAAATAAGAGAAACACATTGTGAAAGACCTGTAATGAGATCTTAGTGCTACTAACGCGCCTTACATTTTCTATAAAGTTGCCGATTGCATTTAGTCACCTCACCAGAGCTAAATCATTTCAACAGTTTACTCTTACCTCCAGTATCATTAAAGTTCTCCAAGTTTAGGAAATGCATTTGAAAAAGCAGAACAAAAAAACCCATGTTCCTGTATGAAAATGTCACCTTATAACACGCATAGCTTTGAAAATAAAAACCAGATTTTCTTCAGGCACGAACCCTTTATCCTTCCCCTGTGGGACTCTAAAGGAGCTATTTAAACTCATGTGCTCATGCAGTCAAAAGCTGGGCTGACTCAGCAAAGTGTTTAACTATGTGCTTAAATTCTGTTGTGTTTGATAGAATTTGAGCATGTGCTTAAACATTATGTTGAAAAGGGATGGATTTACACATGTGTTTTAAAGCTAAGCATGTACCAGAGTAGGCGCATAATACGTTGAAGCAAGTCAGAAGAATTGAGGTTGTAAAAGCCCTACCTTTGGGGTGGCTGACTTCATAAGTAAAATATTTTGATATGATTTTTATATGTAATCTAAAATATAAAGCACAATGCTGTAGTTATTATGATCTGTGAATTAGCAAACGTAGGAGGGTTTCTGTGTCTGTCAGTTTAAAACACGTACGCCAAAATATGTACGCCAAAATTAAGAATGCTTGCAGCTCAGTATCTGAATGTACTTTTTTCTACTGTTGAAAATAGTTTGCTTTTATTTAGTTACTGAAGTATTTGAAGTCAATTAGAACTGTGAATGCTATCTTTAAAAATGCAGCTGTATATATAAGAAGTTATAAACACATATGGGTACCTAATGCCAGGATTCCACAATCTAGAGTTTTCCATGTTCTGACCAGTTTTTAACTTTTATTCCTCCAGTGTTTCTCCGTAGTATGAGGTCAATTAGAACTGTGAATGCTATCTTTAAAAATTCAGCTGTATATATAAGAAGTTATAAACACATATGGGCACCTAATGCCAGGATTCCACAATCTAGAGTTTTCCATGTTCTGACCAGTTTTTAACTTATTCCTCCAGTGTTTCTCCATAGTATGAGACCTGATTATTTTGAGGCGCCAATCACTAAACAGGGTCATGTTCTTGTTGGCTCAAGGGCATAAGCAATTCTGCTTTTTTATTTACTTCTGTCTGTAAAAAGCTTTTTCTGCATTAGAGAAGATTTCTGTTTTTACTGGTGATCTCCCTCGCCCTCGTGTTAAATAAATGTCTATTGCTCTGCACCATCAAAGCACCACTTATTTCCTGCAAAACATTTGGGTATTTTTATTTTTAGGAGAAAAATGTTCAGAATACCAAATTGTCATCTCTCAATAGTATGATGGTATGTGTGGCGTTCATCCCCTCTCTTGCACTGTGACACCCTACCTGTCGCTGTGTGTCCACTGCCCGTGTCCTTGCCCCTTTGCAGAGCTGGGTGTGTGCTGTCTGCAGAGCTTCGCTGCTGAAAATTGGGGGTAGAGAACAGAGAAGGCAAGGAGAGGGCAGTGTTCAGTGGTGATAGATGCTAACTTCAGGATCCTGTAGGCAAAACTCTGTTACCAGCTCCTGCAGTCTCCATCTGTCTGGGGGACTGGGGAACAGATCCTAACTCTCAGCAGGACCAGGTCATTTGGTACATGGAGGAAGCAAAAGTTTTGAATGATGGAGGAGACTTGAGCTACAGACCTTCAAGGTGCCATTAAGAATCTAGTCATCACAGAAGTGTCACAGCACTCTGTTATTGTGAATCTTTCATTTGGTAACACAACTGTGAGAAGTTTAAAAAAAAAATAACCTTGGGTACAATCTATCATGTTAGTTGAAGAGCAGACAGATGATCCGTTGTCAAAAGGCAGAATCATAGAATCGCAGAATCATAGAATGGTTTGGGTTGGAAGGGACCTTAGAGATCATCTAGTTCCAAGCCCCCTGCCATAGGCAGCAACACCTCCCACTAGACCAGGTTACTCAAAGACTCATCCAGCCTGGCCTTGAACACTTCCAGGGAGGGGTGTCAACAATTTTCCTGGGCAACCTGTTCCAGTGTCTCACCACCTTCACAGTAAAGAGTTTCTTCCTTCTGCCTCGTCTAAATCTGCCCTCTTCCAGTTTAAATCCATTACCCCTCATCCTGTCACTACATGCCCTTGAAAAAAGTCCCTCCCCAGCTTTCCTGTAGCCCCCTTCAGGTACTGGAAGGCTGTTATAAGGTCCCCCAAATCCTTCTCCTCAGGGCTGCAGTCAAGCCACTCTCCACCCAGCCTGTATTTGTGCTTGGGATTGCCTCGACCCACGTGCAGGACCTTGCACTTGGCCTTGTTGAATTTCATGAGGTTGTGATGGGCCCACCTCTCAAGCCTGTCCAGGTCCCTCTGGATGGCATCCCTTCCCTCCAGCGTGTCAACCGCACCACACAGCTTGGTGTCACCAGCAAACTTGCTGAGGGTGCACTCGACCCCGCTGTCCATGTTGCCGACAAAGATGTTAAGTAGCACTGGTCCCAGTACCAGTCCCTGAGGAACACCACTCATCACCAGTTTCCATTCAGACATTGAGCCGTTGACCGTAAGTCTCTGAGTGCGACCATCCAGCCAATTCCTTATCCAGCGGGTGGTCCATCCATCAAATCCATATTTTTCCAAGAACCAAGTCTCAAGTACAGGGCAGATTCTTGTATCTTCAGGAGCAAAAAGTGCTGAAGATAGTTGAGAATTTGGTGTATTTCTAGAAAGCTCCAAGATTACTGCTGTATTGGCTTCTTGATTGCAGGGAGGAATCATATCCCTGTGGCCATTGTTGCTGCCCTAGAGTAGGGACATGGAAGGGGACTCGTAATTTTGATAGGTGAGTGGTCAGGTTGCTGTATCGTATATGTAGGTAGTGAGAGGCTTTGGTCACCTGTGTAACAGGTGCTATAAGGCAGAGCAAAACCCAGAGAAGTAAAGTATCATCTGTAACAGTGAAATTAAACTTGTCTATGTGTAGATATATTAATCAGCAAACAAGATAGCAACTTTTGAAATATCGTTATGAAAAGTAAACTTCACACAGCATGCGTGAAACCTGCCAAGACACAGAGGAGCATGGTGCTGTTGTCTGATACACCGTCAAATGCTGCTATTCTGAAAGCACATCATCTTGTAAAAATGAGAAAGACACCGAGCAAATCACCTAATGCTTCTAAAAATAAGTGTGAGCTGCTCAGCCCCTCGCCAAATTTTACCAAGTCAACTGAATAGTGCATAGTTGGTAAGCGTGTCTAACGTGCAGTGCCACAACTGCTGACTTACTGTAAGAATTGTATCAAGCATGCTAAATACAGAAAGGCTGCTTATAACTGCACGTACAAAACCCGGTCCCTCATTAACATCTTCCCCCACCTTCTGCTCCTCCCCAACCCGATTAGCTTCAGAAATCGCCTCTCCCGAGGAGGCTGCGGGTCCTGCAGGGAGCAGGCAGCAGCTCGGCTCCCTCGCCAAAGCCAACTGCGGCGTAGCCAGAGAAACGGGCAGCAAAAATAGCACAGCAGGATGGCTGCGTGTGGGCGAGGCAGAAACCACATCGCCAGCAAAACCTCCCGGTGTTATTTTAGGACCGATACAGCGGCCGTGCCGTTCTACTCGGTTTTCAGAAAATACTCCCCAGGGGGAGGGCAAGGAGAGAGAGGGGCGTGAGTCCCGGGCGAGGAGCGGTTCTGTCCCACTGCCTGCTCGCCTTCCTCCCTCCCTGGCGTCTCCCCACGGAAGCAGGCTGGGCAGGGGGGAAGGGGTTAATCGCGCTCGAGGCCGAGCGGCAGAGGGAGGACGCCGGCGGTTTGAAAGACAGAGACTGGACAGCTGTGTTTGCTGTGGTATTTTTAAACGCATTAATGCAGGCTCCCATCACCCGGCCATGCTTGACCTATTTTTGGCTCAGGCCAGCCATTGTTCTATTTCTGCCGCTGCTGGGCCACGCGGGTGTCAATTCAAATGCAAATGAGTTATCGCTGCTGCTCCCGCCAACTTCGCCCAGCCGCCTGGCCCAGGGAGAGCCGAGCGGGGCGCGGGGACAGCAACGCTGGTCCGGGCTGGGGTGACTCGGACTAAACCCTCAGGGGCTCCCTGTCCCTGGAGGGGGGCTTATTTGGTTTTATGTTTTTTAGGAGACTGTGTTTCCCCTCAGCCCCACCAGAAAGCCCGAAGCACAGAGATATTTCTTCATTTCTTCTTCCACCTGCTGTTGGCTGCCCGAACACAACTGCTCCTACTCGGCGGCGCGCAGCCCCCTGCGCGCTCCCGGCTCCCTTCCAGCAGGCAGGGGCTGCCAAGAGGGGATTTGGGCTTTTTTTTCCCTCTCCCAATAGCGGGTGTGTGCAAATGCTTAAATATTGCTAATTGCTGAAGCGTGTTAGCTTACAAAGCTCGCTGGAGGAGGTAGGACCGCAAAGGGTCATGCCCAATGCCCCTGTGCAAGTGCAGTGATGAATCTCTCGTGTAGCTGAAGTGCAGACCGGTTGGAATATGCTGCAGACAATTTACGAGAGTGAATCGTGTTTTTCCTCAGATGGGGTTTCTGGACGTGAACAGCTCTTGGCTCAGCAGAGAATGCACAGTATGATCAGCTCAGGTAAGAGACAGCTCCGTACCTCGGACTTCAGCGGATGACTGGGAAAATACAGCCTAGTGGGTCGAGAAAACATCCCTTCTTTAAATAAGTGAATTTATTTTTGTGGGCTTTATGTGGGTTGTTGTTAAATAATTGCAGTAGTATGTTAAGATAGCAGCTGCTGCTTTTGTGGGGAGTTTGTCTCCTTCAGTGTGCCGCTTTCCAGACAGAGCAAAATGCTCACAACTGAAATCCAGTTTGGGATTCCTTGTTTGTTTTGTTGCGTGGTTGCAAAATGGGGCTTGTGGTACAGGCTTATTCAGAGAGAGGCTTCCTCACACAGCTCCTGTCAGGAGGCTGCAGTTAGAACCCTCATAAGCAATTCTGGTCATATGTCTGTTGTAAACAGGATTTGGTCTTTCTGTGACTTTCCTTTTCTCCGGTTTGCCTACAAAGGAAGTTTAATACTAATCCCTTTCTCTTTTCATTACAGTGTTACTTTCAAATAGGCATGGCTTATTTTGTTACTTTAAAAATATTGGGAACCTGGCTATGGTAGTCATATGTAATGACTCAGTGAGATGTAAATTGAATGTGTTTTTTCAATGAAGGCATTTCAAAGCTGCTCTGGAAGAACACTGGGCATTTCCTCATGTATTTGAAGCTACACTTGAATTTTGTAGTTTCTTTGCTAGCTGTGTCTGAGACCTGCATATATATATCCTTATGGGGATATAAACTCCATCGCAGCCAGACCCAATACATGCACTGCGGATGAATTAAGTTGGAAGAATTGTTGCCATTCAGATAAAATGTCAATTTAGACAGGCCCATTTTCTCTTAAACTCTATGAATTCCAGTTCTGTTTTTCTTGGGCTGAAACTGTGTCTTTTGAGACACAATGTTATCTGTATTATAGCTTTTTAATCCCAGGCTTCTGATTTTTCTTTTTCATAGCATTTGCTTTATAGAGCACCTGTATGTAGAATGCAGGGTGAATTGTTTATGTGTACTTCAGTCTTAGTTTACTTCCCTTTTTCTTTTGCTTTTTCTTTCACAAACTTGTCAGTGCTTCTCAGGTTTTAAGGTTAATTATGTGTGGAGACCACAGTTTTCTTCACATATTGCCTTTTTTGGTACACCTGTTGAGCTCATGTTTGTTCGTTTGTTTAAAAAACTCTTGCTTTTCTTGCTTTATAGAAAAAGAACTTAAAGGTTTTACTTGTGTTTCTTTCTTACATACAATTTTAGAGCAGACTTCTAGTTTCAGATATAAAATAAATTGTGAGAGATTTGTGAAATAGTAATATCTTTTCTATTAGAAAACACTTAAATATATCTTAGCCTCCTGATCAGTGCCTTTCAGTATAGAAAGAAGAGGCTACATCATAATGATTATAGACTGAGGGAGGTAGTGAAGGACTGACAAGCTATTATGTGCAGGTTAGAATAATGGGAATGCCTAAGGGGAATGCAGACTTCCAACAGGTATAATGTTTAAGACTGGCAGTTTTCCTGTTCCTTTATAAACATGCTGAATTAGTTTTTTTCCTTTTGGATCTCTCAAAGAATTTACTGTTTCTCTAACTTCTTAGAAGAGACATGATCGCCAATTACAGGACAGAAATCAGGTGAAAGACTTGTTTACAAATATCAACAGTGAAGCTTTAGCTAAGACAGGGGGTAAAAATCGGAAGTTTCTCTGAAAGTGTTGTAGTTGTGCAAATACATCTACAGTGCTGAACTCTTGTTCAAGAATTATTGCTTTTCTTTGGTTTTCCTGAACAGCTCAGCAGGTGTCCAGTGCTCTTGTATTGGTCAAAGAGATAAGACTGCCTGCTTCCCATTCCCGCTGTTGTGTTTTTGTTTGGTTTTTTTTTTAATGCTTTGTCAAGTTGAAGGTAGATGTACACAAGTGAAAATCTGGGGTTTTTAGCTCACTATGCTGCCTTGTAACTGCCAACTAATGTAGCAATTCTCACTTGAAACACAAGAAAGGGAGGTAATTTTCTGTAAGTTTATAGCTCTGCTTTTCTTCACTGGAGACAAGAATATAATGTAACAGTTGATTTTTATCTGATATTACTTTTGGCCCATATAACATAAACAAATTCGTCTGTAGTACCAAGTATAATAGAGAGGGGTTTTAGACTTAAAAAAAAAACCAAACCCACCCAAAACCCAACAACTTAGTCAAGAACATTGTCCAGGTAAAAAAATGTTTATATATTCTGTAGAACACAAAATATTTCCCAATGTTTCTGTTGGCCTTTAAAACACACAACTAGACTGTAAGTAGTTAACATTGTACATTGTCTGCAGTTTAATTCATGTCACATGAAACCACAAAGCCTCATGCTGCTGTTGATTACATTCAGTTCCCTCAAGTCCAGAGTCTTTCTGGATCAGTCCTGGTAAATGTTCGGGTATTGTCTCCCTCTATGCTGCATATAGGGGTGAAAGAAATAGCCAGGGTATGATGATGTGCTTTAGTGTTTGGAGTAGCTAGACTCAGTCATCTTAATTTTACTTATTGCAGTGTCCTTACTTTAAAGTTATCCTCACATGTACATGGCTTTTGCTCAGGTAAAAAGTTGCACGTATTTAGGAAAAGAGCAGATCCCTGAACATTTACAGTCTGAACCCTTGATATTCTTGAAGTCTTCGAAGGAAGCACAACTTAAACACTCAATGGATTTTTAGGTTTTCTGGCTTCCAGATGTATGTTGCATGTATTATACAACTCTGACTTTAAACTGGGCCAGAGCCATCCCCAAAGAGGACAGATTGAATAATGATAGTTATTTGCAAAGCAAACTCTCTAGGGAATTTCTGACAATAGCAGGTGTAGGAAATACTTCTGTCATGTGATGCAGTTCTTCTGGTATTCCCTCAATTACTGTTTTCCCTGCCTGTCTCCATCCCTGCTTGTAAATCACACTATGAATGAGATGATCTGGATAGGTACCAATCAAAAGTTTAATTATGAATGGAGCAGTCTAGATCGGCACTGACTCAAGAAGCTGTGTGATTTGCAGACACCTACACCTTACTGCAGAGAGCAGTTTCAGCTATCTTGAGAAGACTGAACTAGATTCTCCCATATGGTACTGTTGCTGTAAAATGCAGCAGTAAGTGATGTGCATCTTTTTTTAAGAAAATGATGCTGATGCATCCTTATTTGATACCATAATTATCTTAGTTTCACAATTTACAAAATAGATCTGGAATCTAAAGCCTCTTGTTTAGCTGCAAGTAGTATTTAACTTTGCTGTTGCTCTTATTTCACCCAAAAAGTCTCGACTTCCACATTTGTATAATACCACAGTGGACCCTAGCATTCAGCTGGCCTCTTACCAGAATATGAGTAATAAACTGTAAGTCCTTGAAAAAAAGCATTTGGTGCAGCACAGTCCATGGTTAAGAATGGTCATTAAAATGTAGTCAATATAGAACTAATGCAGGGCTACGTTAGTCAAACAGATATCCGCTGTGTGAAGGAGAAGAAAGAACCTACCCAGCCATGGTATCAGTAGATGTAGGACTTTAAGAAGTAATGCCAAGTTCGTTAACTTCTGGTGAAGTGAATATACTGTGCTGTTTTTCCAAAGGGTGAAGTTGCTACATTTGCTTCATTGGCCATATGTTGACATACACTCTGGCATTGGCCTGCCTAGATTACACCTTGGCTTTTACTGGATAAGGCATCCTCTGCTTCCTGCCCAAAGCTGTTGTGTTGGAAAATCAAGAGTTCAAGGAGATCTTGAGCTTAAAGCCTTGACTTGTCACCAGGTTGACAGGTGACCTGAGCAAGTTATGCAATCCTGCTTGCGTCAGCTAACCCTTCTGTGAAATATGGAAAATGAAACTTGTCAGCCTCAGGAATCTATAGAGCAAAGCTATTCTAATGGGAATAGAATGATTCAGAATGATTAATTTGATTGACTTCATCTACCTACAGGCTTGCAAAACACCTACAATTCCACAGATGTAGTAAGTGAATGTCATCACAGTATTTTATTCTCTGCACCAGTCAGGAAATTCAAGCTGTGTCACTTGAATGTAAGTGACAAAATCAATGCTACATGCATCATGTTGTACGTGAGTTGACAGGTCTTCCTGAGCTATCTTCCCTCAGTAAACCCTGATGTACAGAACTTATCTCATATGTTGTATCTACCATATGGCTGTGTGACCATGTGTACATGTTTGTGCTCATGCATTTATATTGCCTTCAGAAAAAATTTTCTGATATTTGCTCTCCCATTTTTTTCTGGACAAACGAAACTTTCACCTTCTCAGTTGTTCGTGTGGAAGGACTGCAGAAAGCAAATTCATTTAAAGGTTTGCTCTGATATTCATGAAAAACCTGACATATTTGCATATCTGAATCAGGTAACATAAACTTCTTATAGATATAAAATGTTTCAGATGTGGTATCTCAAGCAATAACTCTTCAGAGAGAGTGAGAATAGATATACTTAGCTTTTATTTGTGATTCTCCTCAGAGTAATGAAAAAAACTGAGTGTGAAAATTCAGTTTAGGGGAGTTATTGGTAACAGCCAGAGAGGCTTTTTCCATGCCTGCCATAAAGACTAGGTAGAAAAAAAACCTAGTGTTTCATAGTAGTAGCTGAAGTATTTTAATTCATTGTTATGGAAGAGTAAGGCCTTAGCTTTAACAATTAATACAATGAGAAGAGATGAGAAATACAGACCTGCAGGTCTTACGTAGTTAAAATCTTACTGATTTTGAGTAGAGGCTGTGCCCAGTGATATATGCTGGGCAAGACATTGTTTATTAATTCAGTTGAACTAAAATGTAGTAAAATGGAATGAAGCTGCTTTTTCTGTTTTACATTATTGAGAAGACACTGAGTACAGACCAATGTTGCCAACTTCATCTGTCATTTAATGCTGTAACATTGCTTTTTCTTTCTTTTTTTTTTTTCTTTTTTTTTTAAATTTAAGTCCCAGTTGCTGGAGCAATGCAATTACCTGACAGACTTACTTTGTGTTAG